GCCGGGGCTTATCCCTCGGTGGTTGCTTCAGCTCCAATTCCGGCTGGGATGGCAAGAAGTCGCGGCTAGCGTGCTCCTCCTCACTCGCCGCCATGTGCTCGCTCCCGGGCAGTAGCGAAGACCTCGCCGCAGCTACCAGCAGCAGCTCGCGGCCATGGCCGGCAGCTGCTCGCATCGGCAGCGGGCAATAGCAGCTCGCGGGCAGTGGCGGGCGACAGCTCGCATGCAACATCGCGGGCGGCGGCCGGAAGACCGGGGTGGGAGCTAAATGTTTGCTCCCGCCAACCATTTTTTTGTTTTGCAAGTCCTTGGCAAAAGAGGGAGGGATTCGGTAGATATAGCAGAATCGGTCCGAACTATGCAAGACCCCACAAAAAATATTAGCAGACGAGCGATTTATAGGATTTGTTTGGGGCGAAAAATCGTCCCCCGTCCACTATATCGGCGGCTATTATAGCGGGCGACCTGGTTTGCGGGATGTGCTAGAGATGATCTAGTCCAGTAACATGCATATATTACTAGTCTATGTTACTATCTTCAAGCTGGTCATATTGGAAGGTATCATATACTAGTATCATGCACATGATCCTAGTGTGTACGATACTATCTCCACAATTCATAGTATTATAGGTTATATGGATGGTATCATATTATGTTACTCATTTAATTATGTGCCATCTTAGCAAAATGCCTAGTTTGCATGCATGATACTACCTATGATATTCTCATAGTGGGTGGTAATATATGTGTGATATCATGGCCTTCATTTATTTACATATAGACCCATTTTGCCTTGGCCTACGTTACGTTACAGTCCACAAACATCTCTATCCTAATTTACTACTTGCCTCATAAACAAACTTGCCTTGGGGTATGTTACTAGCTAAATTACTTCCACTATGGTCATCCTTAAGTTTATATAGAGTACATGTGCGTCTACCAAAATATTGTTGTGTAGGATTCTAATGGTCTATCGGCTAGCCTATCCTCGGTATATATAATGTACCGGAGGCCTAAGATAAGAGGAATTCTAATCAGCTACATCGGTGGAGAGGAGTCCTTGTCTTGTATGTCAAGTCTTGTGAAATCCTCCTTGCATGCATCATGTGCTTTCTAAAGTGGCCCGGGAGGGAACTGACAAAGCGGGTCCTCGGCCCGGCCCAGCTATCCGGGAGTGGACATGGTAAGTACCCCTTATTCCAGGACACCATCACTATGGCCCCAAGTCTATTTTCCTATCATTGCAGTCAAATGTTATGATTTTGTTTTCTCGCCGTTCATTTTATTTATTGCTTCTATTTACCACTTCCTACTATACCATGCAATTTACCATTGTAACTAACACGACAAGAAGATTGACAACTTTCTTGAATCAATGGGGAAAAGTTTGTTTTGTGTGTTGTATGCAAGTATTGATCATTATTCGTTGTGGAGATAAACCTTGGTTCTCAATTGAGAGAAATATTGTTAGTTTACATCACCCTTACACTTGGGGGTTACCCAACCACTCCTACAGGCTACAGGAGAGCAAGCACACAACCATGTGCGTGGTGACTATTCTGCAAATAGCGGGAGCACGGAAGCGGATCTCGGCAAATAGCCACATGTTGCCTAGTAGCGAGGCATCTGCAACATCTAGCATGAAGCCAAGCGGGAATGGGTCCAGGAGCCATTTGTCAAGGATGGCGATGTCGAGCGGCATGGACCACGCTGGGGAAACAGCTCTTACCATCCCTCGCTCGCCTCCACAACACCCCTCACACCCGCCTGAGCAGTCGGTGCCAAGTTCTTGGCAACGAGCGACATCAACAGGGCCAACTCCTCCCCGCCATCGTCCTTGTTATCGTCCGCAGAGAGAGGAGACACCCAAGACCGCAAGCGCGAGGGCAGCTGTCGGCCGTGGGGACGCGTGGCTCTCCCAATCTGGACTTGGGAAAGCGGAGGGGCGGGGATGACCACATGGACATTTTTAGTGGGAGGGGATGTCGAAGCCAGAGTGGCATATGCCGAAGTTGCCATGGAGGTTTGCATCAACGCCGGGGAGACGGGGTGACGCTGAGGATGATGGGGGAGAAGTCGTGGCGGGGAGCTCTGATCCCGCCCGGCTGACGACAACGAACGATGGAGGGCGGGGAGTTGGGCAGCCGTGCACCTTCGAGTTTGCGAGAGCCCCATGCTCACCCGCATGAGATCATCCTCCAGCTGGTCGCTTGAGGAACTGTCAGGCACCTCGCCAGTTGTGGGAGGCTGAGACGACCGCACAGGAACTCGACGTGGCGGTGGAGGAGCACGACGCAAGGGGCCCTCTTGGGAGCGATGGATAGAGGGTGGAGCGGGGCTTCCGGATCTAGGCCAGCCAGAGGCATGGGAAGCCATAGCAGGGAGATCAGGACGTGATAGTGCCTCGCCCTCACGCATGCCTACGGTGACCCGTTTGGTGAGACCCATGTGGACTCTCTCTTCAAAATTCATGGATGGGACGAAAGTCCTCTTCTGCTCACGAGCTCAAATTAGGTTGCGATGAATAGTAAAATTTGAAAATGATTCAAAACAATTCAAAAAATGCGGATTGTTTTGTGACAAACTATATGCAAATGCTTCGAGTACTTGCAAAATTTCATTATGGAATGTCATTCGTAGAAGTTGCGGCAAAACAAAATTAGCAATAAAAAATGCTTTCAAAAATAGCATTTTTGTAGGATAGATTTTGTTTTTCTATTCGACTTCCACAAATGTCATTCCGTGGTGAAACTTTGCCAGCACTCAAAACATTTGTCAATATTTACCAAAACAACATAAAAATTAATTGGTTTTCAATTTCCTTTTTGGATCTCACTATTCACCAAGCTCATTTGAACTTGAGCTAAGAAACATCACGTTCGTCATAGAATTTGTTTATGACTCTGTATGTAGTCAGCCATGCTTACCTACATTACTATATATGTTGACTTCTGTTAGGGGTAGTGTATGGGAGAGGACCGTTGGAATCAGGCTACAATGGAATCCACCTTATAAAACTTAGAAATAAATGTACATATATTTATTTATTTTTGCGAAAGATTTTTTGATCTATTCATAATCAATCATCACAGTACAATGAATATTAGAGGTGATAAAAATTACAATCAGGTCCATGGCCCACCTAGCAATGACTACAAGCGCTTGGCGTGCCGAAGACGCACCATCATCATTGCCCTTCCTTACCGGAGCCGGACAAACCTTGTGAAATGTACTATATGTAAAATGTTCTGAAAAATCGTGTGTTACAAACTTACGCATGTAAGTTTTAGTAAAATAGTATAGGGCCATTTGCGAGCCGGATAAAAATGAGAAAATTATAGTGCCACAATTCAAGTCTTAACATTTAAATTGTACCTCAGTTTCAACAGGTAAGCAATTCAACCAATTCAAAAAAAAAATCATATATTAAAGTTTGCGAAATTTCTCATGGGTAAATATGGACTCGAACCTATGTGCCTGATTCGATTGGAAATATTCAAAACCCTAAAAATATGTTTTTTTTACCAAGTTTTAGAAAGTACAGTGGATAGGCAAGAATTCTGCATCATCAATCAATCAATGTTTTAGATCGGATCGGATGGATCAATCAGCGTGACACCATCAACCAAAACATTTACTATGAACAAACAACGCTACGTAGGTAACGTACACTACCCATCCATTTCGCGCGACCAGGCAACACTAGCCAGCTGAGCATGGCTCGCGTCCTCCACACCTCCGTCGTCGCGCCCTCGCCGTCGCCCGGCGGCGCGGCGCTTCCCGAGCGCTCTCTCCCGCTCACCTACATGGACGCCATGTGGCTCCACACCTCCCCCGTAGAGCGGGTCTTCCTCTTCCACCGCGCGCACGAGCACGACGACGATGACGACGCCGGTACCCTCCTCTCCAACCTCCAGGACTCGTTGTCCGAGGCGCTCCGCTCCTTCTACCCGCTCGCCGGCCGCCTCTGCCTCACCCCCGGCACGTCAAACCGGCACGAGCTCCACTACCAGCCGGGCGACGGCGTCAGCTTCACCGTGGCCGAGTACGATCACGTCGGCGTGGGCGAGCTTGCCACGGACGAGCCGACGGAGCTTGCCAGGAGCGCCCCGCTGGTGCCGCGGCTGCCGGAGGGCGGAGCAGTGTTGGCTCTGCAGGTCAACCTGCTGCGCCGTGGCGGCCTCGCCGTTGGGGTGACCGTCCACCACGCCGCCTGCGACGGCGCGTGCTCCACGCACTTCCTCCACACTTGGGCGTGGGCGGCGGCGTCCCGCGGCGCCACCATCGCGCCGGAGCCCCCCGTCATCGGCCGCACCTTCATCCGCGACCGCGACGACCTCTATGACGCCTTCGCCACCCCCAGGCCGTACAGGGACCGCGATGGGAAGCTCCTCAGGTCGCCCGACGCCGTTGTGGACAAGCTCCTCGCCACGTTCGTGCTGTCGGAGGACCTCCTGCGGAATATCAAGGGCACGGTCGCCGGCGAGGCGGCGCGCCGCGGCCTGTCGCCGCTGCCGCCTCCCACGACGTCCACCGTAGCGACGTACGGCTTCATCTGGCACTGCTACTACCGCGCAAAAGAAAGCCGCGCCGGCGGCGGTAACGACGACCGCGCCTACGCCGTGTTCGCCGCAGATCACCGCGCGCGGCTGGACCCGCCAGTCCCCGCCACGTACCTCGGCAACTGCTTAGGTCTCTGCTTCGCCACGGGAAGCAAGAAGGAGATCACCACCGCCGGCGCGGGAGGCCTCTTAGCAGCATGCTCGGCGGTGGCCGCGGCCATCGACCAGGCGACGCGCCCGCGCGGAGGCGACGGCGGGTGGGGCAGCTGGGACGCGTGCCTGGAGCGCGTCGTGGAGGCGTACGGCGCCGGGGTGCCGCTGACGCTGGCGGGGTCGCCCAGGTTCCGGGTGTACGACGTGGACTTCGGGTTCGGGAGGCCCGCCAAGGTGGACATCGTGTCGGTGGCGAGGACGGGGGCGATGTCGGTGGCCGAGGGCCGCGGCGGCGCCGGCGGGACGGAGGTGGGCATCTCGCTCCCGCCGGACGGCATGCGCAGGTTCCGGAGGTGCTTCGCCGACGCCGCCGTCGCGTGCCTCTCGTCGACGTCGCCCGTGGAGCTGGCTGGCGCAGGTTTGTCGTCAGAACTCTGAAAGTCTACTCTCTTTTCTCTCGAGACGGTCAAGTCTTCCCTCTTCTTACGGTCAAGTCTTCCCTTGACATGTGGCATTGATATGGCATTGATATGGCTGCCCATTTCTGTTGTTCTGTCTAATCGCAAATAGTTCGTCTGGATCAACCGTATGCCCTGCTTCGCACACGCAACTGAAATCTGAACCATATTTGATGCATCAGTCATCGCAAACGTTTTGCACATTTTTTGACGGTTTTTTACACCACCGTTTGCGATTATGGCATCGCACACAATTTCGTGGAATGGTCTCTGATCGTAGTGTCGCGTCAGCAGCATCCTGCAATAGTGATACTTCCATGGTGATGTGTGAGCAGTCTCCCTTCAGGTTATGGGTTTGTAAGTACTAACTATGTGCCCCCCCCCCTCCCCGATCATATGAGTTGTGAGACACGATTGTGACATTTAGCTTTATTAGTGGTGTTGAATTGTATGATGTGCTTCTGCATGTATGTTTATTTACTTTAGATTAAATCTTGTTCATGTTATAAATCGTAATTTGGGAATTCTGAAATCACATGGTGATTATTGAGTATAATATTAGGGTATACTTGAG